TTTTTTTTTTTTTTTGAAAGGAAATATTTTCAAGGACTTTAAGAACACCAAACATAAATTTTAATGAATATATTTTTAAGTATTCTAAAGCTATTAAACGTCGATTTTCAAAAAAAATTTTTTCAAGGACCAACCAAACGTCGATATTTTAAAGAAAATTATTTCAGGGGCATTAAGATCATAAAACGTGGATTTTTTTAAAAATATATTTTCAAGGACCAACCAAACGTGGATTTTTTAAAAATATTTTTTCAAGGACCAACCAAACGTGGATTTTTTAAAGATTTTGTTTTCAAGGACTAAAGGAATATCAAACGTGAATTTTTTAAAGAATATGTTTTCAAGCACCAAAGGACCATCAATCGTGAATTTTTTAAAGACTTTTATTTCAAGGACATCAAATCCATTAAACGTGAATTGTTTTAAAAAATATTTTTTCAAGACGTCAAATCCATCGAACGTCTATTTAAAAAAAATATTTTTTTAAGGTTTAATCGAATGTGGATATTTTTTAATTTGTTTTTCTAGGAACCTGAGACTATAAAACGTGGACCATCTATCGTTGATTTGTTTAAGATCTTTTTTCAAGGACTAATTACACGTGGATTTTTTTGAAAAATATTTTTAAGGTCTAGACAAACGGGGCTTTTTTAAAAAAATATTTTTAAGAGTTAATCAAACGTGGATTTTTTGAAAAATATTTTTAAGGACAAATCAAACGTGGATTTTTTAAAAAAATATTTTAAGGTCGACATCAAACGTGGATTTTCTAAAAAAATATTTTAAGGTCGACATCAAACGTGGATTTTCTAAAAAAATATTTTTTCAAGGACCAATCAAACGTGGATTTTCTAAAAAAATATTTTTTCAAGGACCAATCAAACGTGGATTTTCTAAAAAAATATTTTTTCAAGGACCAATCGAACGTGTATTATTTTAAAAATATTTTTTCAAGGACAAATCGAACGTGGGTTATTTTAAAAATATTTTTTTCTAGGACTCTAAGGCTATCAAAACTGGACCATTTATGGTGGATTTGTTTAAGATGTTTTTCAAATCACTTAAAGGTAGATTAAAAAAAGGACACTTCACCAAGGGCAACGAAGATTTATTTTTAAAGGACAATAAGATCCACTGACTATGAAATGTGAACTTTTAAAGAAACCCTTTTCAAGGACTACGGACCACGAAAAGTAGAGTTTACATTCCTCAAAGGACAACAGAATATTTTCTCAAAGACCCTCAGACCACAAAAATTGAATTTCAAAGGATTATTTTAAAAGACAAATATACAACGAAATCTGAATTTTTGACATTTTTAATGTCTCTCAGGCCATAAAATATGAAATTTTAAAGAGCATTTTTTCAAAGACCAAAGGTATTTCAAAAGTTGATTTTTAAATCTCTTTATTAAAAGGACTTAGAAACCATGAAAATCTAATTTTTAAGGAATATTTCTCAAGGACCAACAGACCACAAAAAAATTCTAACCTTTCTACACATCCTACGGTAGCGTATCCTCTCTCTCTCTTAAAATTATTATTATTAAAAACAGTCTCTGTCATTGTCACTGTTGACAATGGCAACGACAACAAAGATAATATTAGGCTATGTTTATTTTTGGAGGTATACATACACACAGTGTAATTATGTAGATGTATGAATGTGTGTGCGCGGGTGTGTTTGTGTGTGCCTCTCTGTGTATAATGCTCTTTAACCCCTGATTATGATTTTTTGTGCCATGTGGTCTTCTGTCGTCTTGTCGCCGTTGCCGCCGTTGTTGTTGTTGTCTGTGACTTTTCAATGTATCATTGCTCGTGTGTGGATGCTTTCCTCTGCGAGGTTGAGTGAGTACGGCTCTCTTTGCTTGTGTGTGCATGAGCGTGTGTGTGTTTTGGCATTTTCGTGATTCCTGTTGGCTTTGACGAAACACTTTCAAAACGACAAACAAATGAAAACAAAAATTTGAAAAGAAAGCTTTCCTCAATTTTTGGATATTTTTAGGCAAAGGCAAGAGGTAGTAGCGTGAGTGTCTGCTTGTATTGGGTTTTTGTTATTCGATTTTCCTTTTTGGCTCTTTGTCCGTGTGAAGTGTGTGTGCGAATGTGTTTGTAGCTTTTTGACATGTGACTTATTATTGTTGCTTTGTATGCTGCCATTGTCGCCATGTGTCAGGACCAAGTGTCCCAAAAAATAGAAAAAAACAACGGCGAGAAGAAAGGAAAGACTTTCTCCACTTTATGACGGCTACTATCTTTCTTTGAACATGGGTTGACACATTTCCTGTGTGTAAGAGTGTGTGTGTGTGTTTGTGTGCGTGTGGATTCTCTCAATTTTCTTTGACATTGTTTGTGTTTTGTGTTCTTCATCGTTTTGTTTGTGGCTGCAAGTGTGACTAGTTTTTTGTTTGTTGTAACAACAATTAGGGATGAAAATTGCCAAAGAATGAAAGAAAAGCAAACATGAATGAATAGTCGTCGTTATCGTCGTCGCTCGACCCCAATTCGTGGGTTTTTGTGTTGTTTGAAAATTCTTCTTCCTCTTTTTTTTGGTGGCTTTTCAAATCCATTTGAAATTTGTCAAAGTGTGTGTGTGAGTGAGAATGAGAGTGAGTGTGACTAAAACAATTACATTTATTGATGATGATTTCCCAGCGGTTTTTGCTGGCTTCTTTCAGCTATTCTATTGCAATGAATGGATTTATTGTTGACGGATGAAAGGAGGGGCGGAGGAAATGGAACAGAAGCTGCCACGTGATTTAGCAAGTGTTGTTTGTGTGTGTGTGTGTGTGTGAGTCACACTATTTTCATTATGGAAAATTATATGGCACCTCCGCTGGTGGTAATCCCCTAACCTATTAGAAGGGATGACTTTTTTATGGTTTTGTTTGTTTAGCTAAATCTATGAAAATTAAGGTAAAAGAGTTACTGCAGAGTTCGAGGAAATAGAGAAATGAAATAAATATCCTCCTTTCGTTGTTTGAGGATCCTTGAAAAAAAATTCTAAAAAATTTCTGATAATCTTTGAAAGAATATTTTTTAAAAAAAACTTTGTTTGATGGTCCTTAAAAAAATCTTTAAAAATCCACGTTTGATGGTCCTTAAAAAAATCTTTAAAAATTCACTTTTGATGGTCCTTAAAATAATCTTTAAAAATCCACCTTTGATGGTCCTTTTAAAATTCTTTAAAAATTCGGCCTTGATGGTCTTAGAGTCCTTGGAAAAATATTATTTTAAAAATCCACGTTTGATGGTCTTAGAGTCCTTGGAAAAATATTTTTTTTTAATCTACGTTTGATGGCCTTAGAGTCCTTGGAAAAATATTATTTTAAAAATCCACGTTTGATGGTCTTAGAGTCCTTGGAAAAATATTTTTTTTTAATCTACGTTTGATGGCCTTAGAGTCCTTGGAAAAATATTATTTTAAAAATCCACGTTTGATGGTCTTAGAGTCCTTGGAAAAATATTTTTTTAAAAATCCACGTTTGATGGTCTTAGAGTCCTTGGAAAAATATTTTTTTTTTTTAATCTACGTTTGATGGCCTTAGAGTCCTTGGAAAAATATTATTTTAAAAATCCACGTTTGATGGTCTTAAAGTCCTTGGAAAAATATTTTTTTTTTTAAATCCACGTTTAATGGTCTTAGATTCCTTGGAAAAATATTATTTTAAAAATCCACGTTTGATGGTTTTAAAGTCCTTGGAAAATTATTTTTTTTTATTCTTGAAAATATATTCCTTAAAAAATCCATGTTTGATGGTCTTTTTTCCTTGAAAAAATATTCCTTAAAAAATCCAGGGTTAATTGCTCCTTTGGTCCTTGAAAAATATTCTTAAAAAATCAATGTTTGATGGTCCTTTGGTCCTTGAAAAAAATTTCTTTAAAAAAATCCACGTTAAAAGGTCCTCTGGTCCTTGAAAAAATATTCTTTAACAAATCTACGTTTAATAGTCCTTTGGTCCTTGAAAAAATATTCTTTAACAAATCTACGTTTGATAGTTCTTTGGTCGTTAAAAAAATATTCTTTAAAAAATTTACTTTTGATTGGTCCTTAAAAATATTCTTAAAAATGATCCACGTTTAAGGGTCCTTTGGTCCCTAAAAAGTACTCTTTAAAAAATCCACTTTTGATTGATCCTTAAAAAAAATATTCTTAAAAAAGATCCACGTTTAAGGGTCCTTAAAAAAAATATTATTAAAAAAGATCCACATTTAAGGGTCTTTTGATCCTTGAAAAAATATTCTTAAAACAAACCACGTTTAAGGGTCATTTGGTCCTTGAAAAAATATTCTTAAAAAATATCCACGTTTAAGGGTCCTTTGGTCCTTGAAAAAATATTCTTTAAAAAATCCACGTTTGGGGGTTATTTGGACCTTGAAGAAATATTCTTTTAAAAATTCACGTTTGGGGGTATTTTAGTCCTTAAAGAAATATTCTTTAAGAAATCCAATTTTAGGGGTCTTTTGGTCCTTAAAGAAATATTCTTTAAAAAATCAACGTTTGTTGGTCCTTTGGGCCTTGAAAAAATAATCTTTAAAAAATCCACGTTTGATATGTCCTTGAAAAACAATCTTTGAAAAATCCACGTTTGATATTTCCTTGAAAAAATAATCTTTAAAAAATCCCTTGAAAAAATAATCTTTAAAAAATCCCTTGAAAAAATAATCTTTAAAAAATCCACGTTTGATGAGTCCTTGAAAAAACAATCTTTAAAAAATCCAAGTATGACTGGTCCTTGAAAAAATATTCTCAAAAAAATCCACGTTTGTTTGGTCCTTTAAAAAATTTGGTTCTAAAAATTATTTGCTATACGTGGCGTATAAGTATTGTCGTCACTTATTCATGGGACGTATAAGTAGCGACATTACTTATACGACCTAATATTTTTTTATATTTTTTAATTTTTTAGCTGCCAACACCCAACCCAACACATAAAATACACTTTTTTCTGAATCATCCATATATTAATGATGACTTATTTCCCTTCCCTCTCATTTCAGATGAAAATTTCTCACTCAACTCAGACTACAAGCCAAACTTTAACTCTATCAACAATTCTAGCAAACATCTCGCAACTTGTTCAAACATCTCCTCCTCGACGACGACACTGCTTAAGTCAAACAGTCGAACGACCAAACCCACAACCGTTTCACATTTCAATCGCTATCCAATGACGAAACAACTCTCAACGACAACAGCACCAGCCGGAGTAAATGGTGTAGCCACTGGCAGTGGCTCGGCCGCGGGTCAAAATTCCCACAGCAACGGCAGTAGCAGCAGCAGTAGTGGCAATTCGACCAGCGGGACATCCGTGGTGACCAACGGAAATGCAATATCAGCCAATGGATTATCAAATGGCTCCAGCTCCTTTGCCGTGCACTTTTTACACAACAACAATTTGACACCCACAATAATATCACCCACTGCCTCTCTGTCGCCCACAAACCCAGCTTCAGCGCAACTGTCACCAACATCATCGGGCACCATACCAAAGAAATGTTTGATGTCACAACAAGAAAGTGCAAAAGACAAAACATTGACAACAGCATCTGTGACAGTTTTGGCCACACCACCATCACCAACAGCAACGACGACGACAACAACAATTACGACAAACCATCAGCATTCAACAACAACTACAGCAACACCAGCCACTCTGACATCAAGTCAAACATCAACGTCATTAACATCGCCAACAACTAAACCTTGTCAAGTCACCGCCATCACCGGTGCCACCAGCAATAGTCTGGCAGCCGCTGAGGCAGCTAAAAAAGCTGCTGCCGCCACAGCTACCACCACAGCATCCGCATCATCATCATCCAATGATGCCAACGGTCGTTCCGCTGCCCTGGAACGGGCCTATGTCCACGATGTCTACGAACATTGTGAAGAGCCGACCGGCTCGTTGCGACCCCGCGTCGCTCAGTTTCTAAGCAACTTGGAACCCGGTTCAGTGGTTTGCGATGTAGGCTGTGGCAGTGGTCGCTATTTGACTCAATGCAATCCCTCAATATGTACCGTTGGTGTGGATCGTTGCCACCGGCTGAGTCGTGTGGCCAAGGAGAAGGGTGGAGAGGTAAGTGAATTGAAAAAAATTACAAATATTATTATGTGTTTGTTTTCTCTTTCGAGACGAGCTTAATGATCAGGAATTTGCAGTGAAAAGGAAAGCCAGATAGACACTATCACACACTCACCACTATGCGACGCGTTTCGCCGTTGGTTAAGCGGCTCATCAGGCATATTTGGTGTGGATGATGGCTTACAAGGGCCGTTCTCTGGAAAGTAGTATATATTTCGAACTTATTGCAAATTAGCATATGCGAGTTATACACTAGAAACTCTCCAGGTTCGACTCAAGTTCTATTGGCAGATATTTTTTCACAGCAAAATTTTGTTTTTGTAGTGATGGATTTTTTGTCCACAACAACTACATTGCTTCCAATGCATACGCTTGTTTTAGTGCTGCTTTAGGATGACGGGTTAATGGCTCTGAACGTAGAGACGGCAACTTGTAGTTGGCTGCACACCGAGGTCCGCGGTTCAAATCCCACAGCCAGGCTCGGCTGAATTTTTGAGTTTTGCCTTGTTAAGGCGAAGATCATATGTTTTATGATTTATGTGTTTGTTTTCTCTTTCGAGACGAGCTTAATGATCAGGAATTTGCAGTGAAAAGGAATTATTTTTTTAAGGAAATTATGAAAATGAGAAACAAAAGAGAGATGCATGGAAAAATATTTTGCCCCAGGGATTGTAAGCAACAATAACTTGTTGTCCATCGTGGCGTATACGTGGCGACAACAATCATACGTACAGATGTACGATTCCCAATTTTTGCAATGCATAGCCAATGGGGATTTATAAAATAAATAATTTTCAAGTATAAACCATCGCGAAATCCTTAGAGAATGTTTTTTATTGGCTCGCAATTTTGAACTTTTTTAAAAATATTTTTTTACGGTCATTCAGAATTTTTAAAAAACACTTTTAAGGACAAATTTAAATGTGATTTTTTGGAGAATATTTTTTTAAGGACCAACCGAACATGGATTCTTAAGGGTAACTTTTAACGGGCATCAGAACGTAAATTTTAAAATATATTTTTTCCAGGATAAAGATTCCACCCAACGCCGATTTAATTAAGGACATTTTTTAAGGACCAATAGATCATAAAACTTTTATTCTTATAGAATAATTTATACCCTCCCAAAAAACGAGGATTTTTAAAAAATATTTTCCCGAGGATAAACAAAGTAAAACGAGGAGTTTTAGAAGAATTTTTGTTCAATGACTAATTAAGGGCGATTTTTTAAAGGATACTTTTTCAGGAACCAATCTAGAATATATTTTTTAAAAATATTTTCTCAAAGACCAATCAAACAAGGATTTTTTTAAGAATAATTTAAAACGCGGATTTTTTAAAGACATATTGAGACCTTTTATTTTTCAAAGACCAACAGATCGGAAACTTTAAATTTTTTTATTGAATATTTTTAAAGATTTTTTAAAGGGCTATTTTTTAAGAATATTATTTGACAAGGACCCATGGACCATCTTACATGACTTTTTTATACCCTCCACCATACATAGTATGAAGGGTATATTAAATATATCATTCCGTACGTAACTCATCGAAATAATAATTGTAGACCCTATATGGAATATATATTCTTGATCAGCGTAAAATTCTAAGACGATTTAGCCCAATCCGTCTGTCTGTCCGTCTATTTTAATCACACTAGAAGCAAAACGAATTAAGATAGGAAGCTAAACTTTTGCACAGGTCAGTGTTTTATGTACAGGCAGGTCAAGTTCGAAGACGGACTATATCAATCGATTGTAACCAAATTTTTCAATGGAATTGTCTGAAAATCCACAGAAGGAGTTCTTTCTGAGTACTTTATCCCTTGAGAGAGAATTGTCTGTATAGGTTCACGATATAGTGTAGTGTAGTGTATGTAGGTTCACGATGTAGTAACACGTACTACAGCCTATGACAGAATGTTCCCTATGCAAGGGTTCGTATTGCCACCATATAACGGTACCTCCCTATATTCGGTATTTTGATGATTTTAGGTACATTATTCCGTAATTGAATATTGCAAGGGGCTATGATAAAAGTTGCCTATGCTGGTCCACGACTTCCTATAGACCCCAATATAATGGCGTCTTCCTCTATTCGGTATTTTTAAGATTTTAACAGAATTTTTACGAATTTTATTTTTTTTTTTAATCCCAAATGCTTTCCAAATGGTAGAGCGTATTATTATAAGTTCGGCCCGGCCGAACTTATTACTTTTTTCCTGTTCCATCGCAGACTTCTTTACAAAATTTTTGGTCAAGTACCAAAAAGTCCTACACATGTCGATTTTTCAAAGAAAAATTTCAAGGACTAAAAAAACTCTTTTTCTTGTAGAATATTTGTTCAGGAATCTATTTATTATCCAATAATCCGATTGTCTTCACATTACACATATCACAATATGTTTATTTAACTTAAGGTCTGGTGTGAAGATATGATATATCCCCCACAAAGGGACAACATTTTTAATAAACAAAACGCTTATAAAATCCGAAAAAAGCTTCCGATTAACTTTATATTTCTTACATCCCATTATTTCCCTTAACCCAAAATCTACTGTGAAGATGAGATATATCGGTCCACTTCTTCTGGTATCTCCCCCACAAAGGGTCAAAATTTTGAAAATTCATGAAGCTCAGAAAACACGAAATTTATATCCAATTCAATTCAAACTTGGCACATATCAATATTCCTATATTCCTATGGGATATACCGATCCACTCCTTCTGGTACCTCCCTCACAGAGAGTCAAATTTTTGAATATCCACAAAGCTCATTCTGAATTGGTACTTCTCAATATTTCCATTAACAAAAGGGCAATAATACATATGGTAGAGATCAGACCATTCCTTCTGGTAGCTACCCCACATAGGTTTTTTTTTTTTTTTTTTTTTTTGAAAAACAAAACGCTCAATGAAGACGAAATGAGAATCCAAACCTCTTCACATTTCAAAAAAAAATTGCAGTGGTTGTGAGGATCTATTAAAAATTAACGAATTATGGGGCGTATGAATAACGACAATAGTTATACGCCCCAAATTACGGATGCTCAAAAATTCTTTAGATCTTGAAAGAAATGATTCGCGATCGATAATTTTCCAAAAATATATATTATAAATACTGTGGGTTATTAAATTAAAGTTACGATATAAAGTATTATGAAACTCCAGAAAACAGAGTACTTTTCAGTTTCAGGGAAATTCCCTAGATTGAGTAGTAAGAGCTAATTCAAAAAACAGAGGTGAATAAAATAATCGTCAAATTTCACAAATTTAGGAAAGTTTTAAAAATTTATTCAACCCCAAGAAAGGTTTTTTGTTTAATTCAATCTCCCAAGTTAGGAAATTTTTGATCTACTAAGGATATCAATTTCAACTCTGATTTGTCCATTGCTCTGGTATTTTCTCAAAGTCATAAGGATGACTTCTAATATTTTTATTTTTTCAATACTTAAATACGGGTTTCAAGAAATGCCGGAGGCCATAGACTTATTAGAAAAATTGGAGGTATTTCATGTATCCTTGCTAGTTTTACCTTAACTCTAAAACTAGAAACGATATTTGTAAAAATGTAAATAATATACCAAAATCACTTTCATGGCACCCGGAGGTGTAAGTATATGAAATTCGTGATTTTTGTATTTCAACCTCGTCCCAATTCTGTTATTTCTTATAAAAGCCAATAGTGTTTTTCGTGATAGCCACTAAATTTTCCACAAAAATTCTGAACATTATTGTCTCTTTGTCTTCATCTTCTTTTCATTCTTCTTCGTCTTTGCTTTCCAACAAAATGACCATTTCTATACCAAATAAAGTGGCCAACGCAGAGCACGTCCACACAGCCGGTTTGCAGGACTCCATGCACCGCATAGTTGCTATAAAAGAAATAAATTAGAACGAAAAGATAAAAAAACGAAAAATGCCATTTTACCATTTATTGTCATTTCCAGAACAAATTAAATGCATGCGGACAGCTAAAATGGGAACCACATTTATCTCCAACATAGCTTTTGGCCATAACGGAGTATATGCTTTCTAATATTAAAAGAGAAGAACGAACAGAAAACAAAAAATCTGGGTCAACCAATAATTTCCAGGATGGCCAATTGAATGTTATAAATTCAATTAGAAATGGTTTTAAGGTATTAGGGAGAAATAAACTAGAGAAGAAAGAAAATGGGACATATTGAGCTAAGGCAAAGCGAGAGAGGTGTGAAAGGGGTTTGTAGTGTTCTTTTTCTGGGCAAAAGTTATGGATAAGGTATTGCATTTGTAGGTCAAATGGAAGAGCTCTAAATAATTACTGAAAATCGTAGCTTATAAGTAAGGACAACAGTCTTACGCTCCATAGCACTTACAATCATATGAAGTATAATATATGAAAAATATTATAGGGTGGCGTATGAGTAAGGACAATAGTCATACGCTGCATATTATCTATCATTATATAAATTTATAGATCAAGTAGAGGATACACTTCTTAAAGATTTTTAAAAGACCAACAGGACATCAAATGCGATTTAATGATTTATTTAAGGACCGACAAAACATAAATCTTGGATTTTTAATGAATTTTTTAAGAGCCAATGAAAGTAATAAGTTCTGTGAAGAAAGGAAGACCATTATTCTTTCGGTCAAGAATTAGTGATAGCGTATAAGTAACCAGATTGTAATACGCTCCACATTACTTATATTTCCTTGAATTTATATGAAAAATAAGAGTCTTCAATAAATACTGCTAATAATAGAAGACCCCTATAGCTCTTCCTTCCGACACGAATTAATGGTAGCGTATAAGTAACGGCAACATTTATACGATCCAAATAACTTATCACTTATCAACCGGATAGCAACAGGCCAGCAATTAAGGATTTTTAAAATAATTTTTTAAGGACCAATCAAAGATGAATTTTTAAGGAATTTTTAAAGTTCAACAGAATAACAATCACGATTTTTTAAGGACCAAAAGGACACCAATAGTGGATTTCTAAAAAA